ATTGACATACTTCTCCCATCATGAAAAGATACTAAGAAAAAGTATAAGACAAAAAAAATGTCTCTCGAAGACCTTGGTAATCATCTTCAAATAAAATAAGAATGTTGCAACCAAGATGAAGTCACAAAAAAATGAGAAAGATAAATATCTTAAAGTAAACCATCTTGAGTTGATGAAGGTCTATGTGATGGAAGACACAAGGCATGAACATATGACATTCCTATTATACATTAAGATATAATGATGTCACTATGTAAATATCATCAAGGTCCATGTGATAGGTGGACATGTGGTGTTCCTATTATACATTAAGGTATAATGATGCGTTCCTATTATACATTAAAGTATAATAATGTCAATATGTAAATACCATCAAGGTCCACGTGATAAGTGGGCATCATGTGGCATTCCTATTATACATGAAGGTATAAGGGTACTAATATGTAAATTTAAAATCTTGATATATGGTGTATTCCCTTTTTATCATCGAAGGCATGATAATGTAATATAGATGTTCAATATCGTTGATATGGCATTCCTATTGTGCAATAAAGGTACAATGATGCTTGTGTGAACATATACCTTGATGTGTTAATTTGACATTCCAATTGTACATTAAGATACAATGATGTCAATTGAAAAAAAGAAGAAGGAATGTGTGTGAACTTGAAAAATCTTTGTATGGATTAGAATAAGCACTAAAACAATGGCATCAAAGTTTGATGAGGTTGTGCTAGCTAATGGCTATAAGATCAATGAATCTGATAAATGTGTCTATAGTAAGTTCCAAGTGTCATCATTTGTGTATATATGGAAGACATTTTAATCTTTGGTAGCAATTTTGGAACCAATGGAAGACATGAAAATAATGGGCATGGCAGATGTTATTCTTGGTATAAGAATAATGAGAGACAATAATGACCTAACATTGTCTCAATCTCATTACATTGAAAAGATTATAATGAAGTATGGTAAGTTAGATTGTATGCCAATGATTACGCCTTATGATTCTAATTTAAAGCTAATACCCTACAAAAACTAGCCAATAGCACAAAATGAATATGCAAAGGTGAGATGTTGCTTTTGCAGTTGGGATGCTAAGTCAATTTACAAGTAATCCAAGTAAAAAACATTGGTATGATGTTCATAGAGTTCTAAGATACTTAAAAAGTACAAAAAATTATGGCATTTGTTATTCATGTTTTCCTTCAGTTTTAAAAGAGTATACAGATGCTAGTTGGAACTCAAATAGAACGTATCATATATCTATGACTGGTTGAATTTTTACAAATGGTGGAGATGCTGTTTCTTGGGGTTCTAAAATATAATCTTGTTAAGCAGACTCCACTATGGTGGTTGAATTTATAACTTTAGCATCTGCCACCCAAGAAACAGAATGGTTGAGAGATTTATTCTATGAAATTCTGTTGTGGCCTAAACCAATGGCACCAATCTTAATACATTATGACAATGAAGCAATTGTATCAAAGGCATATAATCAAGCATATAATGAAAAAAGTTGATATATTGGACTTCGACATAGCATTGTAAGATAAAGAATTAGTGATGGTATAGTAACTATAAGTTATGTGAGGTCTGATAAAAATTTAACGGATCCATTTACTAAAAGTCTAAAAATGGAGTTGATAATAAAGACCTCAAGAGGGATGGGTTTCAAGCCTATCAACTAAATCTCCAATGGTGGGAGCTCATCCCGACGCTTGTGGCTGACCTGAAAGTCTTGGGTACTGACCATTCTACTACATGGATGATTGCAAAACATTTATTTATATTTTCCATCCCAAGGTGTATAGTGCTTGGTTCTTGTAATATGTAAAGTAAGATCGAACAAAAGTTCTTAATAGACCCATAACATGTATATGTTGAAGTACTATAATTACAGAGTACTTTCGATGGGGGCTACCTATGTGAGTGGAAGTATGGCTGCTTTTAGGAGCTAAAGGCTTGACTCTAACAACACTCATGAATAGATGCAAAATATAAGGCCATAAAATGTGTTGGCAAAATTAGATACAAAGTAAGTAAGTAAGCTTGTGTGTGTTTAGTGTCCCGACTAGTGAAATGAAGAATTGATGGTTCAATGCTTGGTCAACCACTCAATTCAGACTAGAACCAACCACACTCACTAAGTGTAGGTTCAAATTACGGGATACCTTCATTTATGCACAAGGTTCCCAAAGTTGTTGGTATTTGGAAATTTTGAAAATGGTGAGGGATTGTTGGTGTATTTTAAAAATTAAAAGTTATATCATATAATGAAAAGCTATCTTAGCTCAAAGTTTATGTCACATAAAGTGACATAGTGTGTCATTGGATTATAGACAGGTTTTCATGTGAATGGTTATGTCTCTAAGTAAAATGACATTCAAAAATTACGAGACATATTGAAAAGACACCATAGCTCAAAATTTTAAATATGAAAAGTTATTATTTAAAATTATAACTCAAAGATTATATTTTAAGGAATGATTAGTTGTCATTTCATAAGATGATCATTTTAATAACACCTTTATCCAAAAGTTGTGTTTGGTTAAATGAAAAGATGCCTATTAGACAAAATGGTACTTGAATGAAAGGGTTGTATTTTTAAAGAAGAGACACTTACAAGCCTATATAAAGGGCTTGTTACCAACTATTTTGACACATCAAATAAAGCACAAAACGAGAGTAGAAATATCATGAGTAAGAAAAGTGTTGTGTTCTATTAACATAAACACTTAAGTTCTTACCAACTATAAAAGCTTCCAAATTCCTTATAATCTACTTACTGTAGAAAGTAGACTCTAAGGCCAAACAATTTTGTAAACCCTCGAGTGTATCTAGCTGTCTACTCTTGTAAAGTGCAATGCGAAGTTAGACGTTGGCTTCATTGTATCCTTAAGGCTATTTGCATTATTCTTCTTTGCATACCGAGAGGTGGGAACGAAATAAGTCTTAAAGATAACGTCTATGTAAAAGCTCGTCTTGAAGTCAATTTTGCTGGTTCCTTGAATTCCATCTAAACTCCATTTGCACCAACAGGTAATGGCAACAAATGATATCAGAACAAATTTAAATCTTTATTGATGTGAGACTCTCATGAAAGTATAAGAGATATAAGGATCGAACCAGTGTAAGGATTCTTTTCCTCTATGGGTAAACGACTAATGCAATGAGGACACTGCATAATTGTGTAATTGGGTGAGGTAAAATGTTACGGAGTCTATATTAGTGAGAGATGAGCTAGGTCTTTATAATTAAGCACCTTTTTTCATCTAATATACATGTGTTTTGAGTTGAAAATATAAACCTGTAACCTTTAATTACTGCTTAAAATAAACTACTCCCTTTGTGTCTAAATTTTTATTTTTTTATTTTCATGGATATTAAGATAAAAAAATAATTTTGATGTATTTTATATTGAATTTTGGATTTTTTAATAATATAGATGGAAAATGAGTATTAAGTGTTTAAAAAAGGAAAAAAATAAATGAAAAAAAGTAAGAATTAGTCTCTAAATCATGGAATTTGATATAATTTAAACCCATAGTATTTTTTTTTCATTAATGCAAAGTAATATCCACCCTATTTGTTGGACGAGCTTCAACAAGGTATTTTAATAAAACTATCATTTGTTATAACAAATCATAAATTTTATTGCTTTTGCACCTTTCCATGTAAAAATGTCTCTATACATTCTTGGTAGTTTCCCCTTAATTGTGTTTTTTCTTTTGCCTGAGCATATCATCAAATGGCAATGGTATCAAACCCCATTAATTCTTTTGCTTTTGGAATCCATTAAAAATGCCCTGGTAATCTGCACACCAAGGTGAGGGTTCTTGGGTGCAAAAACCTCATACTTGGCTGAGAAAACTACATCCTCCATGTTTCTAACAATGAAGTTCAATGCAGTTTCCTTTAACGTCTTGTTTGAACAAACATCTGAGATTTCTAGGATCTCAAGAACATTGGAGGCATTCAAGGAACTCAACAGGAACCTCTCACAGAACTCCTGCAAGTATGGGATCTCATACTTGTCTGCTGCAACAAACAATGAGTAGACATGCTTCTCTAGCTTGTCGAAGGGCAGGTTCCCACTGTAAAGAAACTCCAAGAGAGACTCCAGCTCTTCAGTGTTCAACTCTGGGAGAGTAATGGTGTCACTTGGTGGAGCCTTGCAGCCATCTGAGTCTAACATGTTCCTGAAGATCTCTGATCTTGCTGCCTGTAAATTTATTAAATGAATAATTGATTTCAGTTTACGGGAAAATGAATAAAAACACGAGGACTGGGAGGTAGGTAGAGAATTACTAGTAAAGCTTTGTGTGCTGGTATGCAAGGCCCATGGTTGCCAGGCTTGAGCTGAATGTCAGTGTGAATTTGATCTCTGAAAGCCACAACAAGTCCACTCAAGAAGCTTATTTTCTTATTCAGATCATCTTCTATGTCCTTCATGCTTGTTATCCATTTGGTAAGATTTGCAAGTGGCTGTGGCTAAGACAAGGAAGAACACCTACTTTAGCCTACATTCTGGAATGTGGAACAAGATTGACTTTTACTACCAAGAAAATTTCTTCAAGAGAAAACAACAATGGTAGATGAATTGGAATCTGTTTTTGTACTTTTCAACATTTCCCTGAAATTTTTAATCATAGATATCCTACAATGAATGAAACTGGGGTTGTGGGCTGTGCCCCCACAAGTATAGAAGGGGAGATAGCTATAGCTTTGTTTCTATTGTGGCCTAGGCTCAATTAAAACTGGGCTGTGTGTACCAGGACAGGAGCTGCTTTATGAAGATTAAAACAAAAACTTTGGTTTTCATGTATTTTATAACATAAATGTTTAATGTCTTTTAGTATTAAAAAGTACAAAAAGAATTATAAAAAGTAAATTTATCATATAAAAAAGTAAAAAGTTTAGGTATCTAAAAAAAAATCGTATATTTTGAAACATTCTGAAAAAGAAAAATAGACAAAAAAAAAACCCCGAAGTGAGTAGAATTGAAAATTAAATTTTGTTGCAAAAGAAAAAGTGGGTCAACCTTGTTCAAACTCAACTATCTTTTGTATTATAATATGGCTTTGTCAATGGCCATGAAAAGTAAATTTGTAATATAGAATAAATAAGAATATTAGGTCTTGAAAGGTGTATTATAACAATCTTATGTATTATAATAATGGTCATGAGAGGTGTTGTGATTCAAGGTCTGAACTTTGAAGGAATTACACCATAAATGTGCTAAACAAAAATTCTGTTGCTTTCATATCCAATAAATAAATCTAATGCTAGTCATGGATGTAGCTAGCCATCATATTCCATGCTGTAATAAACCCAATGTAGCTAGGCATCATATTGATACAAACAGATAATTCAACAGGAAAACATGAAGTCATAGGTTCTGAAAATGATTGACTGCAGGCAACCGGAAAAAAGACAAGAAAAACATGAAAAAGCAGAGCTTGCCTTACACGAATTTTGTGAAGATGAAACAGGAACATTACTGGCTTTATCGCTTCCTTTACCATCATTTTGATCGAGCTTGTTCATCAAAGTGATTACATTCCTTGCTCCTTCATAGCATGCTCCACAGATGGTATTCCTTGGGGGCCTTAGAATGAATGGCATCGAACTGCAGATAGAACAATCCATTTCTTGCCTTGATTTCCTCGACTTTCTGCAGAAACAAAAATGAAAGAACAGAGAGTAGGGGGATGAATATTGAGGGAGGTGAATGGTATTTTCTTGTTCTGAACTCAAATTAAATAATTGTGATAATGATGGAAGTTTGTTAAACCTTATTCTATTCATGATGATGGCCTGCATGTTTTAATCCAAATGAAATGACCAATTCAACCTTCAAAAGATTGCTCTGCTTACATCTATACAAGGATTAAGAGAGGGGTAGAAGAGACAATGGATGAAGGTATACCAAAAAGGAAGGTAGAAGTATGTTGTTGTCAGCCAAGGAAAGATGGGAAGTTGGTTGGACAATGTGTTTTGAGTGAGTTTCAAAGAAGCCCTGGAAGGGCTTAAACAATGGAGGGAGGGAGGGAGTGGGTTTGATTAGAAAAATGAAAATCAGAAAGTTAGGAAGAAGAAAAAGACTTTCCAACTTCACAACAGCCAGGATGTGCAAGGCTAGCACCTCCAACCTTTAACCACTTTCTTAACATTTCCAAAATATTAATTGGCTTTCCTAGGCCAGCTTGCCTGACCAGCTCCTGTCTCCTCTCCTGGTCCCATCTTTGCATGATTAACAGTATATCATTCCACGTCTTTGCATGAACAAACTGCTGAAATTTGCAACAGATGAATCATTGACAAAAATTGCAACTTCAAGAACATATGATAAGCTAAACAAACATGAAACAGTAAGTGTTGCTTCTAAATCAAAGTTTAGAAATCCAGACTTGGAGAAGATTGAGCTGAGAAAATATTTACACATTTATTTTTTTTTGAAAGTTGAGAACAAATTTATTTGACTGGGAAATAGACCAGTGGAACCACTTAATCCAAGCTTTGGAGGATTTCCATCTTGGAATGTTTTTGGAAGAGCAAGGAGCATGGAAAGGCTCACCGAGTCCATTTGAAGCAAACAAATCTCTAGTGATACATTAACCTAATAGAAACACACATCAGAAGTATATATTCTATGTATTTGTACACGGTAAGAGTGAGTTATTTCAGAAGTCACTCCAAGATACAAATGTTCATACTTATACCGCAATAGCTAGTCACTGTACAAAGGAATACAGCTGCAAAAGACAATTTCAAAGGGGAAAATTTAAAGCCCCTAAATCCCCAAAGGCAAAAGTAACAAATGGATAAGCAGAGAAACACAGCATTGCTACCAAGCAGGTCCAGCAGCAAACCACAAACAATCTGCTTTCCAATTCTACTCCCAACTCTGTACATGTTGATACATTTTGTTAACAATCTTTAAAAGCCTCCAGGCACCTTGAATTAAAGGAACTAGTGACAGAGAGCACAAGGAGATGGCACTCCCTAACCTGTGTCAACTGCCAAACCACCAAAAAATGAAATGAATGAAAAATATTTTGTGCATAAACAAATTTTTAATGTTGAATGATTTGCATTAATTCATCTTTTTCATTGCACATTGTTAGCCTGAAAAAGGGTGGAAAATTTTAAGCAGAATCTTGGTAAATGTTAGATGAAAGAAGTGTATTAATCACTGATAGATGAAAGAAGCTAAAGCTGACTAAGAATACAAGATTAAAAACCTGTAGAAGCGTGCCTGGTTTGAAATCGACAAGCAGTTGTATTAATCACTGACCTGAAAATGAAAACAATATCAAGCTTCAAGAAACAGATTAACGAAGTATTGTTCACTGTATTTCACATACAAATTAAAAAAGTCTTCTAGAGTTGTTTGTGAGATTTTACCTCATCAAGATGGATGGAAGGAATATAAGCTATCTTGAACCACTCCCTCCCTTTCCTAATTTGAAGCTTCGGATTCAGCAGAGAACAGTCTGTGATACTTAGAGAATACAAGGAGGAAGGCAGCCCGTGTTCTGGCAAGGAAACAAGCTTGTTACAGAAATTTATTTCAAGTGTTTGAAGAGAGGTGAGTTTTTGAAGCCCCTCACTCTTCAGGAACTTAAGATTCAAAAGCCTGCTGATGCGTAGAGAGTTAAGATTTGTTGGCAGCAACCCCTCCTCTGGAAATGACTCCAACTCATGGCATCCACCTTCAATCTCAAAATGACTTAAGAGAATGAAGATTCTCTAACTTCCACCCTTTTTGGGGGGTGATTTTGTCACAAAAAGAGATGCAAAGTATGATTAGGCTTGATGGCAAGCCTTCCACGGGAAGTGACTCCAGTGCTGGACATTTGTTTATATACAGTGACTGAAGAGATTTGAGGCTTTGCATCCCTGGCAGTGACTTGAGACTCCCGCAATTGAAAAAAACCAGTGATGTCAGGTTTGGAGCTTGAAATTCCTCTTGAAGAAAGGACCTCAAATTAGGACAATCTTTGATTTCCAAGGCATCAATTGAAGTAAGTTCATTCTGCAATCCCTTCTCAATTGAGAGATGCTTAAGATTTCTGCAGTCCCACAGACTAAGAGATTTAAGTTTTGGGAAGTAATTCAACGGAAAAATTTTGAGAGAATCACAGCTACTCCCTAAACATAAATCTTCTAGCCCTGCATCTTGGTTCATCACTTTGTTTGGTTGTGGAAATTTTAACTTTTTGCAGTTATGGATATAGAGTGCTTTTAATGAAGGGCACTGGGTAAAGTTCTTGAGGGAAATACAATCAATGATATATAAATGATGAAGCGAAGATCTCCCCAATATTTCTTTAGGAAGCTTATCCGAAGCATATCTCTCAATTCTGAGGCTGTGCAAGTCAGTTGGCAGTTCCATTAACTGCTGATTTCCATCTTCACTTGATGAAGGTGTTGGCTGAATATGATCTTGCTCTTGATGAATCAGACTTGGAGAGAACTCTGGTGTAATTTCACCATCACTTTTTGAAGGCTCTTCCAACTTTCCAGACGGCTCTATATACTCCTGCACTGCTTTCTCCTTTGCTGGATTTTTGTTAGTTCTATTCTCTTCCAACTGCAGTTCATTGTCTGGAATCTCAGTCATACTTGAAGAGAACTGTGATGCAATTTCACCATCACTTTTCGATAGTGTCTTATCTTGAGTTTTCTTCTGCACCTTGTAACAGTTGTCTAACTTCAGTATACAACGCTCGGAAGTCTGTGGAAGTGAAGCCTCAAGCTGTTCACAATCACTGATCTCCAGTTTTACCAAAGTTGGAAGGCTCTTTGGTAAATCCCCTTTCAATGGTGGACAGTTTATAACGTAAAACTCTTCCAGGCAGGGAAATTCTTCGCCATCTACTTCAAGTAGTGTCCATTCTTCCCATCGTGACATTTCCCCAAATTTTAAAGTCCTAGATGGTGAATCATTTTAGCTATTGCGGATCGGATTATTGTATAAGATTCCCATCTGAGACAAACTCCTCGAGATACAGCCTTAGCTAAATCATGCATATAACGATGTATTTTAAAATGTGAGTTGTCGACTGGTATAAAGAATGACCTCTTCTGTAAACCGTCAACGCATTCAGCACCTACCATTTCCATTGATGGGCCACTAGACTTTTGTAGAAAGCCTTCCGCCACCCACAAGAGAACCAGTTCTTCCTTGTCAAACTCATGATCTCTGGGAAACAGCGAGCAATAAGCAAAACAGCGCTTTAGCAGTGCAGGAAGGTGATAATAGCTCAACAGTAGAATTGATGAAATTGAATCATGGTTATTAGTTTTTTGCAGGTCCTCCAGGACATGGCACACTCTTCACGGGTCTTTTTGAAACGCAAGAGCCCTCCAATTACACTTACGCACAAAGGTATACCGCGGCAGCTCTCCATAATTTTCCTGCCAATACCCTCAAGCGTTATAACCTCACGTCTATCCCTCCCCGCATATGCGGACTTTGCCAACATGGACCAGCAAAATCCTCTGTCAATGGATTTAGATGATAAAGAGTGGAACAGCCCATAACAAATGCCACTTCTTCCTTGGGTGTAGTAACAATGATCTTGCTTCCCCTTGCACCAGAATTGAGAGAAGTTCGTAGGGCGTACCATACATTATTATTCAAATACTGAATATCGTCTAAGACTAGTAGAAATCTTTTCCCATCTAAGCTTGCACTCAATTTATCTAGGAGCTCTAGTGACATGAGATCCTTAATGCTGCACAAAGTGGTGGCCTCAAGAATTGTCCTGGTGATTTTATGAAGGTCAAAGGCCATGGGAACAGCTACCCATGCTTTTAGTTCGGAATGCGTACTCACTTTTTCATCGTTGTAGACGAGCTGCGCAAGGCTGGCCTTGCCCAACTCACACTCGTCAACTAAGGCAATCGCATCAAGATTTTCATCCACAGTATAGATGTAACTTCATATGGAGAACTATCATACAATCGGAAATCAACCTTTAACCCAAACCCTTTGTTAGCCATGAGATCAGCTAGTTGATTACCTTCCCATAAAATGTGCTTTACTAAGACTTCCCATTGTCGATTTAACATTTCTCTAATTGCTCGTATTAGATCCAAATTAGCAGAAGGATGATTAAAGGAGAAGTAACAGCTTGCACTACCATTTATTATCAACTTGTAATTTAACCATACAAAAACTTGGGTATCGAGCATTTAATTTATTGGTTAGTACATAATTTCCCTACCTAAAGAATAGAGTTTGAATCCCCTCTTACTCAATTTAAAAAAAAAAAACATACGAAAACCTTTCTCCCAAACTAATTAGAGCCAATGGTTGATGTCCCATAATTTCACATGATAAACAGTGCACACACCCAACTTGCAAGTAAAGCCCCCAAGCCATATGGCATCTGGTCCTCTAAGAACTCCACCAACAGCAGCTTTATGAACTGAACCATGGAAAGCTCCATTTGAATTAATTGCAATCCAACCTAATGGTGGCGTTGACCAACCCACTAAAGCCTCCTCCTTTTTATTAAGGTTTCCTCGAAGTACTTAACGATATAGCCACAACATCCTTTATTGCACCAGCCGTGTTTTTCACTATATTCAAAATGGCTCCCAACTAGTATTAAGCGACCTTCAAAAATTGTAAGATTTCTCCACTTCCACAACTGCCAACAAGCAACACCAAACATAGTTCTCCAAGGTACTCCTTGAACAGACATCACAGATAAAATAACTATTGTGAAAATTACAGTATAATCTTTAAAGAGTTGCCCAAAATCTTACCCAATCAATATAATAAAGAAAGAAAGAAATCATGCACACTTACAAGAACATAAGAATTTATGTGGTTCAATCTTTTAATGACTTACGTCCACGAGAACAGCAATAGAGAACCTTATCCCATATACACTCAAATCATTCTCTCTAAATTTAGGTGTTCACTATTCTTTAACCTCATAGAGTCCTTTTATAGAGCCAAATATAATAATCTTATCTTAATACAATTAGGATATGTTATCCTAATATAGTTAGATTTAAAGACTTACTTCACAAGGTATACAAATTTAACTAGAATTGAACTATCCTAGCCAAAACACAATTCAAGAGTACTATAACAAATCTCCACTTTAGGCTTGAATTCACTAAGCTCCACTTTATGAATCAATCTTTATCAACATTGCCAATGCCCTAAAAGGGCCTCAAGCACTATGAACACCAATTAAGTCCAAGCAATGCTTTGGTTTTATCTTAGAAACTAACTTAGTCACCATATATGTTGGATTTTCAATTGTAGCTATTTTCTTCACTACAATCTCACGTCTAGAAACAATTTCTCAAACAAAGTTATATTTGACTTGGATGTGTTTGGTTTTCTCTTGAAACATTTGATTTTTAAGTCAACTGTATGACACTTTGACTATCATAAAACACAATTACATATGTTTGTGCAAAACCAAGATCACTAACTAATCCTTGAAGCCATAAAGCCTCTTTCACTACCTCGATCATAACTCATCAATCTCTACTCTTACAAATAAAACATAAAAATCAAAATCATCATTGACACAAGTAATGCTTCGTTGTTGTATATGAGATACCAATTCTTGTACCTCTTGCGATTCATTTTGGACTTTACTACTATCCCGTACTGTCCCAGGAGCATTGATTTCAAGCTCCACGTGCTTGCCAACTTCTTGGTCCAATGTGATTGCAATTCTAAACTTTAACCCATGAAGTAATGTAGACTTATCAAAGGTAACATCTTAACTCACTATAAACTTGGGGGACTTACAATCAATACACCACAATTAATAACCTTTCACTCCATATGCATAGTTTAGGAATATGCACTCCGTTGCCTCTGGTTCAAGTTTACCATCACTCACATGAGCATAAACAAAGCAACCAAATACTCTTAATATAGAGTAATCACCGGGCTTACCAAACCAAACTTCCTTGAGAGTCTTAAATCAATTACAGTTGATGGAGACTGATTTATCAAGTAGCAATCTTTGTTAATAAATTTTACTCAAAAAACTTTGGGTAGACCATATTAGAAAGCATGCATCTTGCTTTCTCTAAAAGTGTTATCTTCATCTGCTCTGCAATACCAATGTATAAGGATTCTCTCATTCTTTCAAAACATACCAAACTCACCTACAAAATTCCAAACCATTGTTTGTTTGGATGCTTTTAATCCTTTTTCCAATCTACTTCTCAAACAATGCCTTTCAATGCAAAAAGGTGGTTAACACTTCACTCATAACCTTCAGAAATACATCCACACTTTTCTTGAAAAAACATTAAAAAAGGTCCACATGTATAATGATCCTCCTTTTGAAGCCATTGAAGAAAAGCCCCACAAATCTGAATCGATGCAGTTTATTGTACTCTTGGTTCGATGAGTTGTAGTGCTAAATTTCACTTTATGTTGTTTGACATAGATGCAATGCTCACAGAAATCTAGCTTCTTAATTTTTTGATTACATTGTAAATCACACTTACTCAGTTTTGTCATTCTTCTCTCGTTTATATGACCCAATCTCATATGCCATAAATATAAAACATCATAATCAGGACATTGGATGAAACTACAAAAACAATTCCAATGATTGTGTTTCCCACTAAAAGATAACAGTCATTAGATAACTTGTCCTTCATGATAGTTAAGGCTCCTTTAGATACCTTAGAGACATTATCTTGGCAACTCCATTTGTAGCCTTTCTTATCTAACAAACTCAAGGATATCAAATTTTTTTTCATGTCAAGGACATGTCTCACCTCAAGTGTCCTTACAATACTATCAAACATCTTGAACCGAATTATGCCAATCCCAATAATTGAGAGAAAGAAATCATCTCCTAATTATATAGTTGCTATATCAACAGATTGATAAGTTATAAACCAATCACGCTAGGCACATAAGTGGAAGCAACAAGCAGAATTTAACATCCATGTATCCATCAAGTTATCATTGGTTATTGTAAGAACACTATAAGCTTCCTCAAAAGTATCAAAGTTATCTTCAACCACGTTTGTAGTACTCTCAAACTTGTTGATCTTTTCATCGTCCTTGAATTTGGTACAATCTTGTTGAAAGTGTCATTTTTTATCACAATTTCAACAAGTCTTTCCATTTGCTTTAGATTTACCTTTTCTGTTTATGCCATTCTCTTTATCTTTTCCTTTATTCACAATCAGGCTAATTGTTTGATTTTCATTTCGAATACCACCAACTTTCTCCTTCAATTCTTTGGAATTTAAAGATGTCCTTACATCCTTCAAAGTGAGTGTTTCTTGGTCATATAACATAGTATCCATGAAGTTTTCATATGATGAAGGAAAAAAATATAAAAAAAATTAAGGCTAGATCTTCATCTCTAATTTTAACATCGATATTCTTGAAATAAAAAATAACCCTATTAAATTCATCAACGTGGGTATTAACAAATGTACCTTCACACATCTTAAGAGTTAACAATCGTTGCTTCCTATAAAGCTCATTCATCATGGATTTGGTTATATAAATACTCTCAAGTTTAAGTCACGTTGCAATAGGAGATTATTCATTCATGACTTCTCTATGCACCTTATTAAATAAAGTTGAGAGAATAGCACTTTGTGCTTTTTCCATAAGATTATCTTTCTCATCATCAGCTAAATTTGAGAGAAAATGGTATTTTCCTTCCAATACCTTCAACAGTTCTTGTTGCACTAGCAATGCACGCATCTTAAAACGCCACAAGCTGAAATCATTTCTTTCATTAAACTTTTCAATCTCATACTTGGTCAAAAAAGTTATTATAGCAAGATTCAGATTAACTCAAGACCTTGAAGCCCTCATAACAATTTATTGCGAAAATTGCGAAATAATCTCTAAAGGATTGCTCAAAATCTTACTCAATCAATAGAATAAAGAAAAAAGAAATTAAGTACACCCACAAAAACATAAGAATTTACGTGGTTTGGTCTTTTGATGACCTACATCCACAGCCACATCTATAGAGAATGATTCACTAAGAGATAAATTAAGAGATTATAAAAATAGTCTTAAACTCACAACCTTTATCTCACATACACCTAAATCACTCTCTCTAAATCTAAGTGTTCACTATTTTTTAACCACAGAGGGTTTTTTTATAAGGCCAAGTACAATAATCTTATCCTAATATAATTAGGATATGTTATCTTAGTATAACTAGATATAAAGATCTGCTTAACAAGGTATAAAAGTTTAATTAGAATTAAACTATCCTAATCAAAACACTATTCAATACAATCATAACAATAACCCCATCATAAACATTAAAAAAATAAAATAGAAAATATGTTAATAAAATTCAATAAATTTGAAATATAGTCATAAAATTTAATATGAGCAATAATATAGTGATAAATTTGACCTTGACCTTAATCCTTGTTATCCATTACCATTTCAAATTGAATTAAATTATTTTTGCCTTTCTTTACAAAAAAAAGGAAAGAAATGAGTCCTGTCAGCATAAATCTTATGTATTGGAATTAAAGAGATAATGAGGTGCAAGCTTCATGAATTGCAAAATATTGCAGGGGATAGCATCAACAAGAGTTTATGTCCAAGTTAGGGTTTAGAAGAGGACAAGTGTGCATGTTTTTTGTATAGTTTAAGACAATTCTTTCTGCATCTGATGCACGGTGTAATGTTTATAGCAGGCATGCCTGCTTTTTCTGAAGAGAAACTGATAGAAGATCAACAAGGGAAACATTTGGACAAAAGGTTCTCTTAAAAAAAAAGGCTGCTTGCGTAATTTCATTACTGCTAAATCATTAATTCCACCATTTTCATCATCATCATCATCAAACCATTCAATCATTGTTGTGATTTAACTAAATCTTTTGCTTGTGTGACAAAATACAAGCGAAGACTACGTGCAAGTGCATACGGTCGCAACAAGTAATATAGTGATAAGTAGAGTTTGTCGATCCCTCTAAGACTTGGTTTACTATTTGTTACTAATTATTAAAATTGTAACAAGCTAAGTTTTATCCAAGCACAAAAAGAACAAGTTGTTAAAATTGAAATAAAGTTTACTCTAAAAGTTTAATTTAACCTAAGGATTGTAAGTTAAATGTGTAGTGAGGAAACAATGCAATTAAATCCTAGGACTATGGTTTCAGCTATTGCTTTGTAAGGATACAAGATCAATCAACTACCTACTTTTTATAGAAAACAATGTTAGTCGCTACGTTCCCTGAGATGCATGTATAACTTCTCTATTTATCACACAATTGCCTAGCTTCATTAACTATCTATGTGTCTATAGAAAATTAACTAAAGCTAAGTTTATTAAGTTTAGGACTTATAATGACTATGTATGATTAATAGGTATATGTCTATCCTATTAAATAATCACCCCACTTAATTTCTTAATATAGAATGAACATACATTACTCAAATTTGGGTCCGTTTAAATTATCCTTCTCAAGCATCATCTAAAACCCCATACTCAACTTACTGGTAATCAAGCAACAAATGAGACAATAAGCATAAATTTGAATAAACATTGATATTCTCATAAAGGCAAGTAAAGAATGAATCTAAAGTATTCCAACTACACAATAGCATCTACCATAATCTTAAATTAAAAACTCTAGCTCAACATGTTCAAAAGGAAAG